TAGCTATAATCTGATACCTTATTTGCGTATAGGTGTTTCTAATTTTGTTCTTTGAAAAATACGTTCTTCCTTTTAATTGTTTTCAGCAGTGTATTTTAGAATAGAAAATATTTAAAAACACATAGTTTTCCTATATTTGACGGTTTGTAATTAGATTAGTTTCAAAAAACTACTGATTGAAAAAGAAGTTTTATAATTTAATTCTAATTAAAACTTAACCTTTAAAAATGAAATTAAAGTAATTTTAACTAAGTTTAAAAGTGAAGATTTATTTAAAACTTCGTATTCTAAAAAAAAAAAAAAATCTTGTGCTAAGCTTCAAACAAAACTTTTACATTAACTTAACTATTAGCAAATTTGTATTTCTGAACTACGAGGCCTTTTTTAGTTATTTACGTATTTAATTAGCTGTTTTCAAATAGCTAACGCAAAAACGAAGATTCAATTAAATGATATAACACAGCTAAAGGAAAAAAAAAACTTTTAGGAGTTCTTCGTATTAGAAAGCATAGACAACGTTAAGCTTCATGAGGTAAAAAAAGATAATATCCATGAGTGTATTAGTGAACATTAACTTGTTTTAAATAATTTGAGTTTTAAGTAATAAGAATATTCTAAAAGATTTTACTGGTTTAAGATTACATAATTATTCTTCACACATTACACTGGAAAACAATTTTTGTGCTTGTATTTTGCTACATGAGTTTCTTTTAAAAACAAATATGAAATATTTTCGTATCACTAAATTCAACTCTGGAATTAATTTCTCTCTCTAAGCTACAGATTTTTAAATGACATTTTTTGTCCATTTTTTGTCAAAATATTCAAACTTAAAGGCGTTATATACACCGAAGAGCCAGTACATTATGACCACCCTGCTAATAACATGTAGGACCATCTTTAGCCCTCAAAACTGCTAGCACTCGCCGTGGCATTGATTCCACAAGGTGCTGATAGGTAGTCTGAGGTATCTGGTACCAAGCGCTCACCAACTGGTCCTGCAATTCCCTCACATTGCGAGGGGGTAGCGTGGCAGCACGAATTTGGTTTTCCAAGTAGGACCACAAATGTTCTATTGGATTAAGGTCTGGTGAATTTGGGGGCCAAGATATGACTTGAAAGTCACTGGAATGTTCCTCGAATCAATCCATGACGATTCGACCCTCATGACATGGCGCATTATCCTGTTGGTAAACACCATCCCCTGTAGGAAAAACTGTTGCCATGAATGGGTGAACCTGGTCTGCAACTATGTTTAAGTAGCTTACAGACGTCAGGGATTGCTCTATGAGGATTATGAGTCCTAATGTGCCCCATGAAAACATTGTTCCTGGGCGAGAAACCATGAAAACCTGAGCGAGCCCATTGTTATAGATGGAGGGTGGTCATAATGTAATTGCTCTTCGGTGTATATCAGGGGGTCACACAAATGTTGAACCAAACTTCGAGTAAAGTTAAAACTCACCATCAGGAGAAAAATTGCATGAATCCCATGCCCGGAAATGGCATCATACGTAGGGGCGCTTCCAGATTTTAAACGATTTCTTCGTGTACTTCTGAACGGGTCATAATAGGGATGCGTCCCTAGCAGCGTAGGACGACAATTCCGGTCATGAGTGAAAACAGAATTTTAACTATGACAATGAGCGTTAACTCTACTAGACGTTTATCACAAAATTTATGCGACCTCTTGCTGCATGTAATGTTTTTAAACTCGTGCATTTCGACAAAAAATAGACTAAAATGTCATTAAAAAACAAATTGTAGCTGTAAGAACAAAACTGATTTCAGATTTGAAATCCTCACACCTGAATTAGACGAGATCAAGCTTTTGTGTAAATGCAGCAAATTTTCTTTCCCAAGTTATATAGTTGTTTTTATAGTATGGTACGTTGTTATTAAGATTATTTATTTAAAATAAGAATACCTACTATTTTTCTGAATCGAAGAGATATTCTAATTGCAATCTAATTAGTTTTCTAAAATAATTAAATGATCTTAGAGAATAATTAATTTAAATTTCAATTAAATTAACTATGTTTAAACCTTTTACGACTAGTATCAGTTATGTTTTTTGGAAAATAAAAAAGTGGCAGCTCAAATGTTTAAATTTAGGATTTATTTTATATGTCTACATTAATATATTAACAATAAACTCGAGTATTACAAAACAATAGACTCTTCTCCGATAACTCTAAGTAAACAATTTTTCAATTAGCAGCACATGTTTTCGACGGTTTTTGCACGGGAACTCTCTTGTTCCAATTTAATAGATTTGACTTTAGAAACGATGCAAAATTTGCATCTAGCAAAATGAGCGTATAACATTAAAATCTATTTTCCCTTTCTAATACCATTATAATTAAAAACGCATTCTTATACAAATATTGCTATCCCATAGAATGACTTCAAAGTTGAAGTTATTAAAGCTAGAAAGAAATTATTAACTTTTTCTCCTCATCTCAATTAATCCAAACTTTACATGATTAAAAATGTCATCATTACTAAAAGCTTTAAGCATAATCTTTCAAACTTTACCAATAATTGTTTACATGGGGGGTTAGTATAAAAGTGTTTCCATTATTTTGATCAACCGCTGTCAGCATTTATATTCGATTATAAAAATAACGCGACAGTGTGCTTTTAAAGCTAAAGTGGTAGGTAACAGAGAGAAATATTCAATTGGTACAATCAAATATGTACTTCCAATTTTTTAGAATAGGTGTTTCTTCATATGCTGACCAGAGTTTGCGGTTGATCAGGCAAATTTGATATAAATGTTCTCTTAACTTTTTTCAAAAAGTAATGAATGATCACTTAATTATTTCATTCTCTAATTTCATTTTGGTGGAAAAAGAAAATAGTCTTCATAATATAATACTAAAATAATTATTTATATTTTGGTTTTATATGATTTCATATTATAAAACTCAAGTTTAACGCAGGAAACTAACTGATGTGCTTAAGTATAAGCACCAAACTATGTTTTTCATAAAAGTACTGCATACATCAATACAAAATGTTGTGTGCTAGCTGCAGTAGTCCTGAATGATTTAACTACTATAATATTTTTATTTTATTTTATAACCGTAGTTGATCAGTCAACCCAATTTTGAGTTTACGTATACAAATGTTCAACTCCGTTGTTTTCTTTTTATCCAATCTAGAAGACAAGGGAACTCCTGGATCAAGTATTAAGAGAAATTTACCTTGTGAAGGACTTTTTTATGGAACTAACCCACATTTGCATTAGATGTTGAAGAAATCCATGAAAACCTCCCACGGTTAGCTTGATGGCAAAGGGCAGACTAACAGTCCTAATCCAGGATCCTTTTACTCCTGAGAATATTTTATGTTAGCACTGTGGTCGGTGCGAGGTGGGTGCAGAATTCGTATCAACACATTATTAAATTTGGTTTACCTCAATGGGAGGCAAGCGCTCGATCCCTTGAGCCACCACGACTCAACTATAAATAATTATCTGAAAGAGCTGATAATAGTTTGATGTGTTTTTTCGATGCTAATTTTTAGCATCGAAACGATTCGCACTTCATTTTTAGACTTTCTTTCGTGGGAGTAAATTATTCGTTGCTACTTTTGAACGAATATGTATAGATTATAAAAATATGTAATTTCTGAGAACTTTCAGACATAAATACTTATTTATTTAATTATTTTTTAACATGGATATTTAGACTTATGTGTTCATTACAAAGTATGACTTATTTGCTCTTGTCAAATTGTAGTGCAAATATTGCAGATGGACATCAGAAAGATACATCCAAAGTCATGGAGAGATTCAAACCCTCTACCTCCATGCTACAGAGTGTTCAGTGTAACTGCGAGACCTTTTTGGCTAAGGAGGCTCTATAATAAATATCTATTAAGCTGACCTCCGTCCTCGGAAAACTAAAAAGCGTGAAGAAGAATTTCTAAATGGATATTTGAAAACTATCTGCTTTGCCTAGGCAATTTAATATTTTGAGGACAGAAATCTCTTGTAGAGATTCTCAAACAGAAATAATTTTTCCTGAAATAATTTAAATGTTAAAGAGGGGATTTTTTCAATGCTCTTTTAGAAAATTTGCTAACATTTTTTTCATTTTTCTGAGGAAGCTGGTAAGCTTAGTATTAATGTTTTTATTTTTATTACTAACTAATGATAGTCATGAATAGTTTACACTTTTGAAATAAAATCAGAAATTATGTTTTTACCATCAGTGCTTTATATTTCCTGAGAATTTCAGGAAAATTAACAGTCCTATGAATAACTCGTAGCAACATTTGCTTTGCCTAATATAACTGCTTATTTTCATATTAACAGTCCTATAAAATTCATATCCTATAAATTTCCAGTCCCATAAAGTTCCTAAAAAAAGAGTCCTATACAATTCATGTCAAAATTCAGTCCTATAAAAACCAGTCTTCTGAAATTCACGTTCAGTCCAATAAAAAATGGTTCAATGAAATTCACGTCCAATCCAATGAAATTCCCGTCCAGTCCTATCAAATTCAAGTCTTATAAAATTCCTACGAAATTCCAGTCGTATAAAATTCCTAAAAAACAGTCCTATAAAGTTCCTATAAAATTCAGGTTCTATAAATTTCCAGTCCTATAAAGTTTCTAAAAGACAGTTCTATAAAATTCATGTCAAAATTCAGTCCTATAAGAAACAGTCTTCTGAAATTCTCATCCAATCTAATAAAAAGCAGTTCAATGAAATTCACGTCCAGTCCTATCAAATTCATGTCTTATAAAATTCCTACGAAATTCCAGTCGTATAAAATTCCTAGAAAACAGTTCTATAAAATTCAAGTCCATAAAATTAACAGTCATATGAATAACTCGTAGCTATATTTTCTTTTCCTAATATAACTACATATTTTCATATTGTTATTTATTGCTTTTCCAAAATTGATGAGACTTTTTTTCAATAAATACTATAACTAGTTTTATAAACGAGCGAGAAAGCCAAAAATTTGTTTTTTTCATTTTGCAGCAAAAAAAGACTGTATGATTGATAGTGAAATAGGATGGTTCGATATGGATAATGTCTACACGTGTGAGGAGGACCAAAGATGTTGTAAAGAATATGGAAACCCATCATGTTGTGCTGAAAAAAATAAATGGTTAATAGTGTAAGTATACCATTACAATTAATGAGCTTATTGGAAGAATGTCATACTGACAGTTTACAGAATTTGAAGAAAAAAAATCAGCTCTAAGCTTTAGAATGCATAGAAACACGAGGAAGCTGCTTCAAAAATATTTTTCTACAGGTTGGCTCATTTATCTGACACTAGAAACTAATGTTTCATGCTTACTTTTGACAGAAAATAATCATTAGACTTGTAAATATGACTGTTTAGAAAGTGTCGCAATGCATGCTCTTCCACTTAGCATTTTAATTTTCAAGGTGTCATCACAAAAAAAAAAAAAAAACTTTGGGAATACAAAGACTCCAACTGTTACGGATTCTCCGATATATATATATATATATATATAGTTATAANTATATATATATATACTGTAGTTTTTTAATAATTACATGTTTTGCGGAGCGAGTTTATATGCAATACTTTCATATTTAAGAAAACATGTAACGAGCTTTCCTGAAAAACTGATTGAATATTGTTAGAAGATAGCAGAGTATGGATAATTGGCACAATAAGTTAGTGTTCCTTACTTGATTTTGACAGTTAGTAATCCTTTGACAAGCAAATTTGACTTTTTAAAACGTGTTGCTTTGCATATTCTTCCTCTTAATACTTCGAAAGGTGAAGAACTTTCAAGATCTCATAAAATAAAAATAAAAAATAAATAAATAAATAGAACTGATAGAAAATTTACAGAAGATAGAAGAGTGCGGATATTTGCACAATAAATTTACGTTCTGTACATGCTTTAATCCATAAGTAATCCTTAGACTAGTAAATTTGACTGTTCTCAAAGTGTTACTACAAATGTTCTTCCTGGTAGTACCTTAAATTTCGAAGTCTCTCACTCAAAAAAAAAAAAAAAATAGAAAAAAGAAGAATTGATTGAATATTGGTAGAAGATGTGGAAATTCAACTGTGGAAAACTCGGACAATAAATCAATGTTTCGTCCTTACTTTCGACTATGAGTAATCCCTAGAGTGGTATATTTAACTGTTTCAAAATTGTCGTTTCACACGTAAGTTAGCACTTTAACTTTCGAATTCTTACAAAGAAAGATCAGATTGAGTATTGTTAGTAGATAGCAGAGTATGGAAAATTGACACAATAAATTAGTGTTCCTTACCTTCTTTCAACCGTAAGTAATCCTTAGACTAGTAAACTTGACTGTTTACAAAAGTACAGTCAAATTTACTAGTCTGAGGATAACCTATTGCAGCGTAGTGTACAGTCAGGTTTACTAGTCTAAGGAAGTTATATATGTTCTTCCCTTTAGCACCTTAACTTCGATGTCTATCTCAAAAACAAATCTGATTGAATATTGATAGAAGATAGCAGACTGTGGAAAATTTGCATAATTAATTAATGTTCCGTACCTACTTTCGATCATAAGTAATCTTTAGAATGGTAAATTTGTCTGTTTCCAAATTGTGTTTCACATGTAACTTAGCACTTTAGCTATAGAATTCTTACAAAAGCAACCTGATTGAATATTGCTAGAAGATGGATATTTGGCACAATAAATTAGTGTTCCGTACCTACTTTCAACCATAAGTAATCCTTAGACCAGTAAATTTGACTGTTTACAAAGTGTTATATATGTTCCTCCCTTTAGCACTTTAACTTTCGATGTCTCTCTCAGAAAAAATATCTGATTGAATATTTATAGAAGATAGCAGACAGTGGAAAATTTGCATACTAAATTAATATTCCGTGCCTACTTTCGAATATAAGTAATCTTTGGAATGGTAAGTCTTTGGAATGGTAAATTTGTCTGTTTCCAAATTGTCGTTTCACATGTAACTCATAACTTTAACTTTCGAATTCTTACAAAAAAGATCTGATTAATTTTTTTTTATTAGAAGTTAGAAGAGTATGGATATTTGGCACAATAAATTAGTGTTCCGTACCTACTTATGACCATAAGTAATCCTTAGACTAGTAAATTTGACTGTTTACAAATTGTGCTTCACAAGTAACTTAGCACTTAAGCTATCGAATTCTTACAAAAACAACCTGATTGAATATTGTTAGAACATTGCAGAGTATGGATAACTGGCATTACAAATGTAGTTACATGTGAAATTTCTTAGAAAATTTGACTATTTAGAAAGTGTTGCTTAGCATATTCTTCCTCTTACTCTCAAACTTTCGAGATGTCACATAAAAGGTTATTGAATATTGAATATAGCAAAGTATGGATAGTCATAAGCACACATAACATGAAGTGATAGTCATTAGGAATCCTAACTTGTATTGATTTAGCTCGATACATAGATAAAGCAAATTGCAAGCAGAATTCCTTTTAGTAAGTTTCCAGTTAATTTTACGTCATTTTTTTAAAAATGGCAAATATAAGAAAAATATGATGTGGAATTTCATAGCTTAAAGTAAAACAAGTTTTTTTTTAAACCCTAGTGTGTCACAGAGATATTTTTTGAAAATAGATAAGCAATATAGAAAACATGGCTTTTATTAAAAGTAATTCTTATGAAAGTTTAGTTTGAAAATATTTATTTATAAGAAATATATCAGGTTTTACTTGTTGCAAACTTTACAGACTGTAAAAACATAAGAAGTAAAAGTTTCTATGATAGTTTTGGTAAACTTTTAGTTTAACAAAAAGAAATATAATTAAAAAAAAAGTTTTCAGTATCTTATTACCCAAACTTATCTATTCGCTTTAAATAAAGCAGAAATTGTATGGAATTTCTTAGAACATATTTTTAAAAATGCCTTTTTCTTTTACAGAAAAGACCAACTGATACTTTGGGGTGGATTATTTGGCTTTTTGACATTTCTTGGTCTTGTTGTTTACTGTCGACGTAAAGATTTCTACGTTCTTGAAGGAAATAATCCTTGTGCAAAATGTTTAGGTCTAAAACCTAAGGAACAACCAGAAGATGACGAAGAGAAACCCATTAAAACCTAGTAATTTTTTTTTCTGTTGAAGATCAAAACATAGAAAACATATTTTAAAATTTCATTTCAACCAATGTGAGTATGCTGCTATCAGAAAATAGAATATGATTATTTAGCTTCAGTTCTAGTTAAGTAATGAATTTCTTTTCGATAAAATGCAGTTAACATATATATGTTTATACTACCAAACATTCTTATGGAGTTCAGAAAATGAAGAAAGGTAATAATGTAGATGTTGTTCTCTAGGGATGTTGTTTTTCCATTTTAAACTGATATGTTATATTTTTTTCCAAAAAATATAAAGTAAATTTTAGAGTGCTTGCTCACAAATTAACAAAATAATGAAAACAAGTTTAAATATTGACTTTATTGTTAAACTATTAATCAATATTTTTGACTACATTTATTTTTACTGGCCTTTTTATTTAAAGCAAGAGCTGTAACAAAACCAAAAAACCTTTTTTGGCAATTTCTCCTTGAGGAAAAGGGGCGATTGAGCCTATAAGTAGGAAAAATTGTCAATAATGTATAAAACCATTCTAACCAATGTAAGTTTGCTGCTATCAGAAAATAGAATTTGTTTCTTTAGCTTCAGTTTCAGTTAAGTAATGAATTTCTTTTAGATAAAATGTAGTAAACATATACATTTTCTTACCACCTACTATTGCTATGGTATTTAGAAAATGTAGAAGGTAATAATGCAGATGTTGTTCTAGTACAAGATGTTGTTCTAGTACAAGTGTTGCTCTAGTTCATCTCTAGTATAAGGTTTCTAGATCAAGATTCATGCTTTATGAGGAAAAAATTATCTAAAATATTTTATACTTCTGCCATATGCTAATGATATTAGATTTAGTTATGTCTGTTAATTTTTTTAGTGATAAAATTTTCAAATAAGTATATCCGATATCTATAGTATATCTGATATTTTAGGTATCTTTTGGGTATATTTCAGGTATATATTAGGTATATCATCTGGGTATATTTTAATGAATTGCTTCTATGAATGATTTAAATGATAGATTTTATGATTTATATTTTTCAGATTCATGCTTTTAAGATAACTGTTTACTTGTCTTCGCGACAAAAATAAATTGTTTGTATGATTTAAGTGATAGATTTCATGATTTATATTTTTCAGATCAAAGCTTTTAAGATAACTGTTTACTTGTCTTCCGTGACAAAAAATTTCAATGAAGATTGCTGTCATTAGTATATTTGTGCTGGTTGTTTCGTTAATTGTTCATTTGTTAGTGATAATCTGCATAGATAATTTTTCTTTTCATTCTAATTGTTTAAGTTTTTCTATAATAAAAATGTATTAAAATTCATGATATGCATATACTTAAATTGAATATTTAAATTCAAAGCAATTCATCGACAATGGATTTTCTTTAGATATCATATATTTTAGTATTCATTGTTTCAGTGAAATGATTGGTATATTTGAGTTAGGGATGCGTGAAATTGATTTCGATGTATATAAGTTTATAAGTCAAGAATTTGTGTTTATTTTTAACAAATAATATTTTATAGAAAAATTAGTCTTCAAATTATAATATCTTTTTCTGGTAGCAGCTGTAGTTTAATAAAACCATGTGATTTTAAGAACAAATATATGTAGTGATCATAATATGTATGTTAATAAAAGCTCAATAGACTTTTCCAATTTTGTGTTTTTGCATATATTAAGCTAATTTTATCAACATATATATTTCTACTCAGTGAAAATAATCATAGAAATATTGAAAAACAAAATAAGTAAGTAAAAGAGTTGCAATTTGTAAACTGATTGAAAATTCAATCAAAATTTTTATTTGCTCTCCAAAACAATTCTTCTAAAACGCTTCTCTGGAAACAGAGTCAAACCATTTCATAAAATTGCGAAAACGTTTCAATTAGTTTTATGTTGAAGAAAAACGATTGTGCTTCCATCTATTTATTAGGGAGAAAACTTATACATGAAGGATTTCAAAAAGAGCTAGACAAATGATCATAATTCTTACGTTTTAGACTCTTCCAATAAAAATTCCACAAAGTTTATCTAACCAGTTAAATACACCTGATGCCAGTAACATTTTTCATTATTTATCATTGATAAGTGCATGGTACGCAGTTTTGTACGCACCATACACCTCTTGTGGCAATAAATATAATCTATATTATTAAATTTACCAGAAGATAGGAAGGTGATTAGTAACTTTTTGGAAAGTGACCATTTTTTTAATGTTTAAGGGTAAATATCGCAATAATTAGATCGAAAAATGGTATTTTTATGGAAACTATTTTGACTGCTTTCAAAAGAGAAGTATGTTTGAATTAACGCTTCTGAAATTGTATTAAAATGAAATTCTGTAAAACTTAACGTGTGTATGATTGAGGAGGCAAAACTTCTCTCTAAAAACAACTGCTAACAGCAGGCATGATAGTTCATCCGATTTACTTAAAAATATTAATACAATTGTTATTCATGTAAATTCAAGAGCAATATAAAGAAAAACTTTAACAAAATGGCATTATATTGCACTTAAAGTAATAAAAAAAGATCTACCAATTTATTAAACCGACATTTTAAATGTGAAAAAACGTATTTATATATATTAGAAACTATCAACCTCTGCTTCAGATTCCAGTTTCAATCTCAACCACAAATCTCAACTTCAGCTTCAACTTCAATATCGCAAACGAGAAAACGATATGATTGCTGTTTAATCTATTGATGAAGCTTCAACTTCAATATCGCAAACAAGACAACTTCATCAATAGATTAAACAGCAATCATATCGTTTTCTCAAGCTGATACTTCACTCTCATCTGAAATTGAAAATTTTGGGCAAGCTGCTTTTTTTATTTCAACTTATAAAATTTCTTCGAGCAATGAACTTGCAACGTTAAATCAGCAACCAGAACGTCAGCTAATTACAATGTGTCACTTCATATTTTAAAAGGTACATGGTTGATGGGGTCGGCTGTTCAACGATGGTTATATGCAGGGCTCGAAAAACCACCCGTCCGCCCGTCCTCGGCGGTCAAAAATTCCCTGCGGACAACAAATATCTTGAATCCGACGTCCGCGCGGACGGCCATTTCCCCATTAATATTCGTGATACATTTTCAATTTTTGTTATCTTACAAGAGTCTAGAGCCTCACTTCTAAAATGACCCTCTAATCTAGAAATACAGCAACATACTGCGCTTGGTGGAATTGATGTTTTCTCTGTCTGGGAGTACTGCAGTGGTTGAAAGAGGCTTTTCAGCAATGAGCTTACAAAAAAAAACATTACGTACTGGTCTTAAACAAGAAGCGTTAAACGCAATTATGAACATCCACCTAAATGGAAAACCCCTTTCAGATTTCTGTGCAGAAACCTCTGTAAATCATTGGCTTGATTGTGGAACTGGCAAACGTCATATTTGATTCATTTAAAAAACGCAGTACCCTCGGATAAATTGACATTCCAGATAACTTGACCTTTGTCATTTAAATTATTTCATAAAAGAAATACTAGGTTACTATTAGTAACCTAGTATTTCTTTTATTACTGTATAATGTAATCCTAGTAACGACTAATTCATTGTGCAATTTATATAAATGTTTGTAATAAATAAGAGAAAATTATATTTTTATTTATTTAGAAACTACGGGTTAGTTTCAAAGGAGGACGGGTACATTGTTGGACAAGCCGTCCTCGGGGACGGATAAAATTTCTGACTTTCTTCGAGCCCTGGTTGTATGTATATAAAAAGGAATAAATTAGGGAATAATAGTTTCGTTAGAGTTTCAAAAATATAATCGAATTTTCATATTGGTTTGATAGGTGCCTGTTTCAAAGTAATGTACGTGCTTGATTTATTATTTAACATTGAAAAAGCATTTTTAATTTTAAGAAAATTGTCTCAGAACTCTTATTTTACGCAAAACAAAATCACTCGACTTTTTTTAAAAAAATATACGAAGGTGTTGCCTTTAAAACCATTAAAACAAAAAAGTTTAACAAAAAGATTAAAAAAAAAGCTTGAAATACTTTAATATAACAATTTAATTTAACACTTGTTTAATTTTCCGAAAATCAGAGTCTTTAAATAACTCAAATTCGTTTAAAGATAAATTACATGATATTATTTAGAAAACTGAAATATGAAGTTTTCTAAATTTTAGCATTGAATCAAGTCAGAATAAATTTATTTTAAGTCAGTTCCAGTAAACGTTAAAGCATTCTTTTAAGGCTTTTCAATAAATAAAATAGAATAAATTGTTTTAAACATTATTTATTTAAGACTTTTTTTCCCTATATTTTTGTAAAAATTTAATCTCAAAATCACAATAATTTATAATCTAATAAAAATTGTTTTAGAAAATGCCTTTTAACTTATTTCGTCATGAATTCAGAACAGGAATTTTCAACCATTTTTTCCTTTAACGAATGCCATTATCTAAAATTCCGACCTTTATTGGTTTGTTCTATTCTTTTCTCTATTGTATTTTCTTTAAATTTTTCTAACTATACCTCGCTTTGACGTGATAAAAATCAGACCTGCTTTTACAGCATTTTCTCTTCTCAGCTTTAGGGATAAACGGAACGTGTCAATTGCAAGATGGAATGGAATTAATTGTGATAAGAGAATACGCCCTATCAGATTGAAAAATAAATACTTTTTATTTTCGCGAATTTGAGTCTCATGACGAGGTTTTTACAAACTGTTGAGGAAAGAAATCAATGCCATGCAAAAATAAAGTTTTATTGTTATCTATACTGAAATATAGCAAATTTAGATAGCAATCAATAAATTTTAAATTATAAAATAATTTTAATTATGTAAGTTATTAATTTTCTCTAATAGGGGAGAGAAGGTTAACACTACACAACCTCCAACGAATTTTTTGCTTTAAGAAGTTTCAACTTTTAATTATTTATTTTGTTTTTTCCTAAATGTATTTTCTTTAAATTTGTTTTAGCTATATCTCGTTTTGGCGTGATAAAGTGTTGCTTTTGCAGAGTTTCCTATTTTAAGTTTAAAGGATCAATGAAACGTTTCAATTACACACAAGATGGAATGGTATTAATAGCAATAAGAGAGCCTCGATTACTCAGGTGATAGAGCGTTCGCCCTGCAATGAGGTGAACCGGGTTAGAATCCCCGCGATGGCTAGTAAACACAAATCGGCACCCGGCTTGCACCAACCACAGTGCTGACGTGAAATATCTTCAGTGGTAGAAGGATCATGGGTTAGAGTCCCTTTGCAGTCAAGCTAACTGAGGGAGGATCTCGTGGTCTTTCTCTCTGTGCATCGCAAATGCGGGTAAGTTCCATTAAAAAGTCCTCCACGAAGGCAAATTTCTTCCAATACTTGATCCAGGAGTTCCCTTGTCTTCTGGATTGGGTTCAAAATTACTAGGCTATGGAGTTGAACATTAGTAGTTGTAAATCCTCAATTGGGTAGGCTGCTCAGCCATGGTTAAAAAATAAGATGAAAAAAATTGGGTAATTCGAACAGTGGAGATTCAGGGAAAAAAGCGTTCGCCTTCCAATGAGGTGATCAGGTTCGAATCCCAGCCATGGTTGGTCAATAAAATCCGCATCCGATTTACACCTACCACAGGTGCTGATGTGAAATATTCTCAGTGGTAGACAGATCATGGGTTAGAGTCCCTTTGCCGTCAGGTTTACCGTGGGAGGTGCTCGTGGTCTTCCTCTCCGTGCAACGCAAATGCGGGTTAGTTCTATAAAAAAAAGTCTTCCATGATAGCAAATTTCTCTCAATACTTGATCCAGAAGTTGATCCCAAGTCTTCTGGATTGGGTTCAAAATTACAAGGCTATGGAGTTGAACATTAGTAGTTGTAAACCATAAATTAGGTAGGCTGTTCAACTATGGTTAATAAATAAAATGAAAAAAAACTGGATAATTAGAATAGTAGAGACTCAGGGAAAAGAGTTTTGGCCTTCCAATGAGGTGAACCGGGTTCGAATCCCTGCGATGGCTGGTCGATACGAATTCCGCTCCCAGTTTGCACCGAACACAATGCTGACGTAAAATATCCTCAGTGGTAGACGGATCATGGGTTAGAGTGCCTTTGCTGTCAGACTAACCGTGGAAGGTTTTCGTGGTTTACCTTTCTATGTGACGCAAATGAGAATTAGTTCTATCAAAGAAAGTTCCCTAGGTAGGCAAATTTCTCCCAATACTTGATCCAGGAGTTTCCCTGTCTTCTGGATTGGTTTTAAATCTGCAAGACTACGGAGTTGAACATTTGTAATCGTAGACCCAAAAATTGTGTTGACTGTTCAACAACGGTTATGAAAAAAATAGCAATAAAAGAATATGCATTTTTAACTCGAAAATAAATAATTTTTCTTCCCTATATTAGGTTCAGTACCGTTTAAAGTTTTAAGCATTTCCGTTTCTGGTGGTAATGGAAAATTGACCCATTCCTTGCTTTAAAGATGTATAAGAATGTTGATGGCTTTGAGATTATCATAGTTGGCTTACAAGCCCGCGTACCAGTAGCCAATCTGTATTATATTTAGCAAATAAATTATATTATAATTAGGATAAAACAAAATGATTTTCGAATGTCTGACCACATTACTCATAGATCTAAATAATTTTTTTTTTTTAAAATTCAGTAATTGGAAGACCAAGTACAGTTAATAGAAATTGATTATT